GTCAACTGCCGATTAATAGACTTTTTGCCGCATGAGTATAGTTTTAATCATGCCAAGTCTGTTTAATTAGAAGAGAGCTTGATGACACTATAAATTTCTTCGTGCCATATCTATATTGAACATATTTCCAAATTTGCGTTTCAATTTTAATCCAATTTTGGCAAACCTATCAAGATTCATTCTGCTCTACCTTTTTTTCTTTTCCTCGCAGTTGGCTATTAATAGTTTGCCCGTTACCTAACCTCATCAAAAATATAGTATTGCTTTCCCCTAAAATATTTCTTCAGCTGAAGAATCTTTAGTTTCACTTCTTTTGATTCCCGTGTATTTGAACCGATTTTTTACATTCCGAATGGAAATGGGATTTACTATAAGCCAATCAATAAATGCGAAAAAGGGGGTTTTGTTTTGACATGAGTGGTTGGACGATTTGTTAAATGATTAGCTAAGATTGCAATTTAAATTGTGCGATTGCTGGAGTAACAGCTACTAATAGCAGTCAATAAATTAGTTAATCCCAACTGAAAGTACATCTCTCCTATCTTAACAACTGTGCAGTTTAGTACCAATAGCACAACTTTCCTCTAACGCAATAAAATGGTTATAGCCCCTCTCCACCCGTTTATTCATCTTACAGGAAGACAGTCATTGCCTCCGCTTGCTCAAGTTCCATGAAGGAGTCGTTTTTGGTTCAAATTATTCCCCTTGAATCTCTTTAGCATCAGTGACCACTTTGGTTATATATGTAAAACCCTCCATGTATGCTTGTGTGTACCGAACACAAGAACTGCAGATTCACTGAAGCCATCTAGAGGCCATAAGTGCGTAACATATAATAGAGTAATTAAATGAAGGATCATTCATGGCTTTGAAATATGACACCTACTAGTATTGTAAATTTGTGCAATTCAAGACCTTTAAGGTGAGCCATATCAGTCCTCGTCTTGAAAGTTGGAAAGCTTCTTATGGTCACTTTTATGAAAAACTCGTTTAAGTGAACTTACAAATTAGAAAATGCGCTTGACTATTCTTGGTTCAAGGAGCTCAATCAACTGATCATTACCTCAGAATCTGGATTTATTTTAATATACTATGAAAATGGGAACAATGAAAAATGGTATATTGAATTGGGTTTGTTGTTAAAAAAGCAAGGCCAAATTAATCTGCAAAATAAATGAGAAAAATGTAAAATTAGTCAATATATAAGTGATTTCTTTGCAAAATGCACTTAAAAGCAAGAAAATTAAATCAACATAAATTTTGATTTCAATTTTAAGAAAATAGGATTTGATAACTGTTAAATACAGGCTACAATATCTGTTAAAAGATTTCATTAGAAGCTTCAAATTAAAAGAATACGCAAAGGCAGAAGAAGAGAATTACAAATAATTTTTTATTTCTTAAGAGTAAAATATTAATCAAATTGATTTAGAATTTTATATACTACTAAGGTTTGCAGTGTGCGTTGTTTTAAGCAACCTCTTTTGCTCCGTGCGCACACATATTGAATTATTGGTGATGGTATGCATCTTTTTTTGTGATTTATTAATATTTAGGGTATCGATATTAGCCATAGGTTCAAGCGAAAGGTTGTTCGCAGAGACCCAAAAAGTGAGGATGTTTATCTTCGTCTTATGGTGAAGTTGTACAAATTCCTGGCAAGACGTACGCACTCTAAATTTAACAACATCATTAAGCGTCGTCTCTGCATGAGCCGTACGAATCGTGCTCCTCTTTCCCTGTCTCGCTTGGCAAGACAAATGAAGAAGCCAGGAAGGGAAGGCAAGATTGCTGTTGTCGTTGGTACCGTTACTGATGACATCAGAATGCGTGAGGTTCCCAAACTAATGGTGAGCATCAAATTGGAAGTTTGAAGAAGTCCTATTTTGGATACAGTTAATGGGGTGCTTATTTTATTGTAGGTTTGTGCTCTTCGCATTACTGCTGGAGCTAGAAGCCGAATTCTTAAGGCTGGTGGCAAAGTGATGACCATTGACCAGTTGGCTCAGAAGGCTCCCCTCGGAAAAGGCACAGTCCTACTCCAAGGACCAAGGAAAGCTCGTGAGGCTTGCAGACACTTTGGACTTGCTCCTGGTGTGCCAAACAGTCATACTAAACCCTATGTAGTATCCAAGTCCCGTGAGCGTACCAATGCCCACAGAGCATAGGATTGGTAATATAAATCGTGTGCCATTTTGTATGAATTTAATTTTGGTTTCCGGAGTACTCGTTTGTTTTGAAGTTGGTGTGGATTTTGGGAGTATAGTGCTTGGTTTGTTTAAAATCAATGTGATATGCCTTACTTTAGGGACGATAATTTTACTCTCTGTGGCTTATTTATTTTTAGGCAGTTAAATTACATGCTTTTCTTCTGGTTTAATTATGATATCGCATTAGTTTTGGTGAGAAGAACTTTTGCAATGGATTTGAGTTGTTTACCTAGAGTATCTCTCGAAGGGAGTTGCTATTGGATTCATATAACGGTTTGGTGCCGCTTTGAATATGAGAAACTTGATTTTTTCGTGGACGGGTTTCATTTTTTAATTCATTTGGTCTGAGTATGGTATATTCAAACTGTTTGAGCTCTTCCAGCCAGAAGACCTGAATGCAGTACTGAACATGGTGTATATGGTTCTTTGTCGTCTGCTCAGTATTTTTGAGGTCGCTCTTGCTCATTTCTTTGTTGATGAGGATCCTCATGTAGTTTGTATTGTTTGAGTTTTGCGGTTTCTTATTCCAAACTGTTTAATTTGTGGCAGAGCGCTTTTTTGGTGCGAAATGGTAAGTATTTGTCTGAAATGTCTGGGATATACGCTATCCGAGAGTGTCTCGTTGAGTTACTGAGTGTTATTAAAATTATGGGAATAGGATGGCGGTTGAATCCTATAAAATGGTGTCATTCTGATTTTCTATTTGTTGGAAGTGATCATGATAGAGGTCTTATTAATTTTGCCAGAGAAAAATGGTTTGAATATTTCGAGGTCGGCTGAAATATAACGTTCCCTTGATTCCATGACTTACACTTTACTCATTCTTCTATTCATTTAACTTGTCTGGCATTTATTGACGGAGTACTTTAATTATTGTAGGTAGGCATATTTGCGGTATGTTTTTGAAATAATTCGCCGCAGTTTTTGGTCTATTTATGATGCACTATGTTTTCTTTTGGTCTGGATTTTGCATTTGCAAGTAATGACTACTTCTTTCATTCAGTGTCTTATTTATCGAGCCACTTTTTCATTTCCTCGTGTGAAAGTGATTTCGCTCATTGTTTTTTTCATTATTTTCCCCTGGTATCATCAATATTAGCTCATGGGAGTAGAACACTTTGTAAGCGATTAGGTATTATGACTGCAGTTTATTTTGTGTCTTCACTCAGATCTCGTAATCCTTCGACAATTTCCTAGTTTTCGTACTTATTTAGTGGGTGAATTCGTTAATAATTAGGTGAGTAATAAATTCTTCTTGGGTAATAGCTGAAACTGACCATCTTAGTTCTCTCTGCTACTGTCACTTTCCCGATTGACAATAATGTTTATACAACTTGGAATAATTTGTTTGATATTTGTTGCTAATCATTCTGGCGTAATTTGTAACATAGGCAGTCAACGTATTCCGTTCTGTGCGCTCTGTTTCTAATGATTTCGGGGTGCAATTTTGCTCTAGGGGCAGTTGCTAGAAGGGAATGCTTATTTGTGTAGCATCCGTTACAAATTCTACTCATCGCGCAGCCCCAAGTGCGCAGTTAGAAAGGAATAGTGACTTGGTGTGAAGTTCGAAGTCCCGGTCTCGATATCCCTCATTTCGCACCAAGTTTCAGTACGGCTAACCACTCTGGTTAAGTTTAACTGATAGGTGACGATGAACTACAAATCTCGCATCAAAACGGTTTATTATTTTCTTTCTGCTTACGTTGAAAGGAGTACTAATTTGAATCTTGGTCGTTCTAACGTTATTTTTCCTTGAACCAATTTTTTGTTCAAGTCTTCTTATCTTGATTCACTTTTGGCACCTGGAATAATTTGACTAAATTACCAATTTAATCTACTATCTGGTAAAATCTCTTGATATATAATCAGTGGACAGAAGCTTGAAGTGCTAACTTTTGCACTAGAATTAAGATGGAGAAACTGTTAGCGCACAGTATTTTTCATATTCTCTCCGCTAATTTCGTCCTCTTACCTTGCAGTTCGACTGGCGTTGTGTTTCCTGCTTTTGATACTTTTCCATATTTAAAGATCCAATCATTATGCGCGATGACGAGCAATTTCAGTCCGATCAATTTAGGAGAGGTGGCTTTCCAATAAATAGATCTAATTAAAGACTAGGTGGATCGAGGCATAATTGGTCTATTTGACGAGTACAGTCTATTCGATATAGTTCTAAGAAGTGTTGACTGGCAGCTTAAAATTTGGAAGCCATTTCATGAATTGTGATCTGGAAGTTGTAGCTTCCCGTAAACACTGATTTGCAATCGGATTATTTAGGTAATCCCGATATTGGCTACATAATGAATTAAATATCAGTCACCGACCATGTTAGTTATGGATGTATGTCAAAGGGCGCTTCGAAGATTGACGGTTCTTTCACTGGGACTCGAGAAAAGTTACCCGAAGGTACTACATTGAAAAGTGGTTGAAAAAATGGCTAAGGACTATTCATGGTAGAATATTAATGGGTTTTTGAGGTATTAATTGGAAGGATCCTTCCATGGAACCTTGCTGCTCAATAGTCGAAATGGCAGACAAATCTGTTCACGTCTTCTCGGGATAAGTGTTGGGCGTAAAGGGGTATTCTTAAGACTGAAAGCAGGATATTGCTGGTCACCAAGAAGAAATAGATGATTTGGAGCAATCAGATTTTAAATTGAAGCAAAAATTCTACGATGTTTTGGCTTTTCAAATTCACTCTATTCTCCTTTGAACTACTTTTGCTTAAATCCTTTAAAGTTGCATTGACGGTACCTATAAACTGGAGTTTGTAGCACATATGATGCAAATAAGATTTGACCAATCCTCAAAAACCTTCCCCGACAAATCCCCCTCCATAGTATTGAGGGAACAGAGCGTATCGAGTAAATACCTCTTATTACAACAATGACCAACTGCATAGTATGACCACTTAACACACATCTATAACACAATTTTGAATTCTGATTGGTACGTTGCACTTACCAGAACGTTCTGGAGTGCATGAGCTTTCTTTGTTCACCTCTGGTAGTGAATTAATGATTTGCGAACAATTTATTTATTTTTTTAAGACAAATGGCAGGCGTTTTGATAGTTATCATTAGACCTTTA